TTTATTATTACGTTACTTTAAAAAGCTTTTAAATATTAAATAGTATAATATATTCTATAAATCTTTCGAGAAGATATATATTTACTCTATATGCTAAAAGAAAAGATATTTACGATACTTTAAAAAGTTTATAATAAAAGCGAATATTAGATTAAGACTAGTACTTTAATAAGACTATATAGCTATTATTAACTTAAAAAAGTATAAGATATTAAGAAATATATTATTAAGTATCTTAAATATATTAAGTATAAACCTATTATTAGATTTTAGTCTTTATATTTTATTAAAGTTATATATTCTTTTTAGCTTATAAAAATAGACTTTATTAATTTACTTAAAACTATTAAAATAAGATTTACTTTTATACTTATAAAAGTTTACTATATAAGTAAATTTATAATTCTCTTTACTACTATATTTACTAATATAAAAAATATTATTTAATATCTTAAGTTATTCTTTACTATATATAAAAAGTCTTATATTAACTATCTCGATTATAATTAATATTTCTTTAATAATAAATTAAAAGAATTCTTAAGATTTAAAGATATTATCGTTATATATAGCTTTTTTAATACTTCTAAAAGTATAAAAATAATCGAGATTTATAATAAACTACTAAAAGCGATACTTCGCAAGAATTCTCTTTATATCGAATTAAAATAAGATTAGCGTTTATTAAAGATAAGAGATTTAATTAATATATAAGTTATTAAATACTTAGAAATCTCTTCTATTAATATTCTTTTTAAATTACTATTAAAAGCTTTTACTAGTATATTTATCTTATATATACTTTTTAAATATAATATTTTTATTTAAATAGCTAAATTAAAAGATTTTATTAGCTATACTTAAATTATATAATAATATCTTTTTTATTAAGCGAATCTTTATAATATAATTAAATAATATTTAAATTAATAGAAGAAGAATATAGCTTCTTAATATAATAAGAAAATTAAGTAAGTTATATATTATATTAATAATCTAATTATATTATATTAAAAGAATATAGAAAAGCTAAAAGCTCGCTAGAGAGGTTTATTTTAAATAAGTAGATATAGTAGATTCTATAAAAGATTCTTTATATTTATATAACTTAATAATTAAAAAATTAGATATATATTTTATAGAGATTATCTTAAGAAATTCGTTACTTATATAGACTATCTTCTAGATTTCGCTATCTTCTTATTACTATAGTAGTAAACTACTCGATATTCTCGCTAGAAACTTTTTTAGAGATTTATACTTCTTATAGAAAGCTTTAGAATTTATACTTTCTCGAAGTTTATACTTTCTTAGAAGTATATACGCTTTTAAAAAGCTTTAGCGTTCTTACTTTCTATAGTATTATATAAAAATAATTATAAAAATAATAGTAATTTTATTTTTTACTTTAGATACTATACTATACTACGACTTTATTTCTTTTATCTATATTTATATATAGCTTTATAATCGCTAAGACTCTTTCTTATTTATTTCGTAGTAGTCGGAAAATACTTTTTTATAGACTTTTACAGCTAGTTTATATATAGTATAGCTTAATCTAATAAAATAAATATCCTACTATCGTAGGCTTTCATAGATTCTATATCCTCTTCTACCCACACGAGCCTGGTCATCCTTGTTCTTTACCCTGGATGTACCCGGAGATAAAGGGGTGTATAAGTATCAAGTCCCTCATCAATTAGTCCCTTTCACCCTCTGCCTAATACGGTCACATTCTCAACTCCCCAGCAGCGATACATGCGGTCTCCGCCCAGAACCCATTCTCGGAAAAGAGCAGCACGAACGTAGGGCGCATTCCCAGCGGTATTGTTCTAAAAAGCTACTGCGTCCGACTTCAACGTAAGTGGCTTTCGCAAAGGTAGCAGATTGAAGAACGATCCCGAATCTTGGCAAAGATAATTCTAGTGGGGTAGTAACATTAGAGAGGGTTAGCTACGAGACTGGCATGACCATAGTTGACAGTCAAGAGTCAACGCTGGGCTATGATGCTCATGAGAATGGGTTTATGAAAAGCTGCTAAGTCCCCTGGCCCTGTTTCATGACTGCCTAAGGTCGACAATGAAGTGGGAGGGCCTGAGAGTCCGGGCGCAATCGCAAACTCCATGTCCATCAAAGAGCCGCTCGGATGAGACGATCATGGACTTGCGCAGACTTTACATTTACGATCAGGGTTGGCGGAAGAAATTGGATATCGTCGGATGTTGAGCGCGCGGCGGACGTCTTATTGAACTGGATGGACGAGTAGTCCTTCATGGTGAACCGACTCGAAACGCTTGTCGGGACCGGCGAAGTTTGCGGGTTCTCTGATCAGGGAGTCGTTGGCAATGAGCGGTTCAGCTCAAGCGGCTGACCTCGAGGTGGAGAGGATGGAGGTCTGTCTCGCTTCAGTGACGTGCGGCGAGATGATCTTTTCTGGGAAGGGGTTCTGCATGCATTGGAACCACCATTTGAACAATACCAAGCAGTCTACACTCAATTGCTCAAAGAAGATCACCTGGACTGGCATTATAGTGACACTCTGAACGCTCTGGCCTTTTCTTGCACGCGACAAATGCTAGTCGCACGGCATTCATGCTTTAATTCAGCAGAGGAAGAACTCACTAGACCTTGGGACATTTGTGAAGAGGCGCCATAAGGACCCAGGACCAAAGGCACCCAAGCTAAATGGTAGACAGGCTGTAGTATGAGAAAATACATTCTTCGCAATCGACACAGAGAATGACAGCGTTCCCGAAGAACTTGAGTAGCCGATACCTGGGAACTCACCTTGACCACATTACCTGAGCTGACTGTCTGAGTTAACATAGTCGAGATCGAGTGGAGACAGTTTTGAAAAGAATCAAGGACTCCAAGCTACCTCGCTAAAATTGAAATTTCTTTTCATCATCCCAGTTCCTCACACCTTGCAGCATCGGTTAGACTCGGATCATATGCTTATGAGTAGCCAGGAGCTACAAGCTGGCTGTCATCTCTCCGGTGGCAGGATCGCACTGCATGACTGTGACGGACGATGATCTCCCAGATTGCTTATTCAAGTGAGGCTGGATCAGGATTGCCTCTCGAAAATTCCGAGGCAGTCCCAAACGACTTTTCCGCGCCCCATACCCGACCTCATGAGTTTCCAACGAAGTTGAAATCGCGTTCGGAATGTGGATCCAAAGCCTTGTTCCTCATCTTCTTTGCCGCTGACTCATACAATCCTAGTCCACTGTTAGTAGGCGGAAGTACCATGTCGAGCGACCTCGCGCATCGGCTAGACAGTTCTCATAGTTGCTCAAAAAGCGGACACGTTCTAGCATTGTCCTAGGAGTATCGGCTTTCCCTGTTATCATGTTGCTAAGGAGTTCACAGAGTGCATTGACGACGACGCCATGCCCGTCTGCGAAGCTGTTCAACCGCAAATTTAACGCCGGATAAAAAATGCTGATGACCAGCAGTAGAAGATTTTGAGCTACGGCGGTCGAGGAATTTCTGAAATAGTGTCTTGTATTACTCGACTGGGTAATTCAAAGGTCTCAAGCGGCCACTGGTATATTCGATATGTAGTATGGGTGTCTCGACTACGGATCGATTGATGAAGTCATCAAACGCAGAGTTCCATTCACACTGAGAGAGTCTAGGACCCAGCTTCGCAGGCGATTGAGTCGAGGACAGACGGGCGAAATCAACAAGTGTCTGGAACTCTTCGTAGGTGAGAAGATGGCAGTGCTTATTTCCAGCGAGTAGCTGCAGGTGTGAGTGGTACTTCCAAGTGTGAAGCAGCTCAGATCTGAAAGGCTTGTAGGATGTAAAGTCTCAGCGTAGGTAGTCTTCGGGGCGAAGCTCATCCGCCGGGCAAATTACAAATTCATACCCCAAACTATGCGATTCTTACAAGTTCATACCCCATCTTACATTTTCATATCCCTCACCGAAAAATAGGGTATGAAAATGTAATTTACCATTCCCTGGTGTACGAAAATGTTAAAACATCATCAATTTATACATGCAGCTATCCCGATATCTATATACGAGAACCTTTTTTATTATATGGTAGGAAAGAGTAAAAATAGGCTGAGAGGTTAATTCGTAACATCTTGATTAATAGGGGTCACTTATAGGCTACCTTACCCCCACCCGCCCCGAAACCTTACGCTAAACCCCCCGCCTCCTGCGAGAATATAAATTTCGAAAGTAGGCCCTTAGGTAGTAATTCCAGGCCGCTTCGGTAACTTACAAAATCATACCCCTTACATTTTCATACCTCATTGGGGTATGAATTTGTAATTTGCCCCTCATTCGCCATTTCCTGTCTCTGTTCTTTCTCTGCTCAGAGTAAGACTGTCGCCATCAAGCTGACAATGCGTCCGGAACGCTCCCTGTGCCACGCCCCGCCCGAAGGATTCGGTGGACAATCCGTTATCGAGCCTAATATACTCGTGAATCCTTCAAGCCGATTTCATGCACTCCTAGAAGACTATGTGCTTTCAACTGGCGTCTAAGTCCCACCGCTAGAGAGCTTCCTTTCGAAAGTTGCCTAACATTAGCGCTGTCCAGTCGATGATCGAGACTTGCCTTGGGGATATGGTGATTACCTTGGACTTGGCATTTTAGCTGGAAAGGTGTCAGTCCGGATTTAAAGTCTTGGCACAACTGCTTCGTAAGGTTAGCGTGCTTAGAAATTCATTTGGGAAGCAACGCTCGGGGTTAAGATGTTGGCATTCTCGCCTGATTCAGTAAACGGCATGGAAGTTAAGGCCGAGCAGACCGAGCATCTGCCCCTTTGTCAAGTATATAAGAAGCGCCCTCGCATCCAATTATTCAGATTCAAGCAGCGAGCACCAGACAACTCGAACCTTCATCTTGATCATCGCTTGCGAGACTGCTCGAAACAAGCACAATCCATCTGACTCCTTACATTTACCAAAATCCATAAACCCCATCGTTATCAACATTTACATCACCTTCCTTCACCACAGACCCCAATCACCACCACCATGGCCAAGCTCCTCACTGTCTTCGGTGCAACGGGTCAGCAGGGCGGCTCAGTCGTCGACTATGTCATCAACGACTCGGAACTTTCCAAGCAGTACAAAGTCCGTGGCATTACTCGAGACCTCACCAAGCCCGCCGCCCAAGCTCTGCAACAAAAGGGTGTCGAAGTCGTCAAGGCTGATGCTGACGACAAAGATTCCCTCAAGCAAGCCATGGAAGGCGCCCACACAGTCTTTGGCGTCACGGCCACCATCTACGACGAGAAGTTGAAGGAGAGAGAACTCGCTCAGGGGAAGGCCATGGCAGACGCTGCCGTTGCTGCCGGCGTGCAGTACTTCATCTTCAGCACCCTGTCGAACGCGGGCAAGATGTCGGGCGGCAAGCTCCAGAAAGTGGACCATTTTGACGTGAAGGCGGAGATCGAAGACTACATTCGCGCGCGGCCGATGAAGAGCGCATTTTTCGCACCGGGAAGCTTCATGCAGAACTTTGGTCATCTTATGGCACCGCGTCCAGCCGGCGACGGCACTTACGCCATTGCGCACTTCGTGAAACCCGAGACGCAGCTTCCGCTCATCGACACTGTCGACGACACTGGCAAATACGTTGGCGCGATCCTCGCCGAGCCCGACAAGTACGAGGGCAAGGTCTTGTCTGCGGCCACCAGACTTTACTCATACAGCGAGATTGTAGAAACGATGAGTAAAGCTTCTGGCAAGACGGTTCAGTACAAACAGCTACCTCAGAGCGTCTGGAGCGGCTTCTTGCCCCCTGATACGAAGGATTACTTGGTTGATATGTTTTTGTGGATTCAAGACTATGGGTACTATGGTCCCAAGACTGAGGAGCTCGTTGACGAGACAGCCAAGCAAGCGCGTGGCAAGCTGACTACATTGGAGGAATACCTCGTCAGGTGTCCTCTCCATCTGCAGTGATGGGTGTACCATTGTGAGAAGTAAAGACAGCGTCAGCAAGCTCACTTGACGGCGAGATCTCTGAGCTCCGAATGATACGGGGCTAAAGGCGGTGGAAAGCGGTAGTCTCAATAGAAAATCAGAATGAGGCGGCTCTCACCCTAGCATACGCTTTTTTGTTCCATGATTAGTCTCAAATGTGAAGTACACAATTATGCTTTCCGCGAAAAACGCGATCTTCCATGAGGACTGATTCGCTGTGTTTGGCGCTACAGACCTTGCAGCAGCGCCGTACCTTCACCTCTTTCACTAACGATATTCCATCTTTCGTGCTTTGAGGCGACTTGTTGGGCATTTGGTAAGTGCAAAGGTGAGGCGTGGCCCAGCCTTGCCTGCTATTTCATCCTGGGTGAATGCCACTTATACCGAACACTCCTAGGAAGTCTTTCCTATGTTCCCAGTGGTCTCCTTGCTGGATTCTCCCCTAAAAAGATAGTCCGAACAAAATGTCCTGCGCCGCTCGCACAATCTTTTCCCGAGCAGCAGAAGCTGCTGTGGCAGACAGCTCGGCGACATAAACATACCTTGGTCTCTCGCCGCAGCATCTAGCCTCTGCTCTAGCTGATCAGTTGCAGAGTAGATCTGTCAAGCACGCTGTAAGTGGTCCTGCAGTCGATACATACTGACCGAACCTCAAGTATAGATGCGGGCGCCCATTTATCCCCAGTCTCGAAAGATAGGTTAAAGCAAATAACATGCAGCGAGGATAGGTTGCATCAAAGCTGTTATTTGACTTTGGTAGTGTTTCATATCATTGGACGAATGGAGAAGATCTTCATTTCTTTCTTCAAGTACTGCGCGGGCTACGGCTGGTGCAGGACAGAGTCTATCAGGAAAGCTGAAGGAGTGCAGCGGTGAGAGGGCGCAGTAGCATTACAGCCTTGCGTGCGTCATGTGGCGTGCATGGACAATCGCTTTTCCAGCTTCGTCATGAACACCGAAGAGATTCTACTCTTCATTAGTGCGTATGGGGACACCGCCGTAACAGGTCTTCAAAGGGTCATTTTGCTAGACGTGGTATACTTCGCATTCGTAAAGGGCAACGCTTTCTACCCTTAAAAGCCTTACCTGAGGACTCGACTTGAGCCAAATCAAAGCCGTCGATTAGGCAAAATTTGAGCGGCATTGAGCTGGACCCCATTTTAGATTGATGAACCATTTGCCTGGATTCAGCAGTGGGGGAGTAACAGACTCTTGGACTTCGAAACCAAAGAAGCCTTCGCTAATATTATTCCTGTTCAATTCCTGCCCCGTAAGCCCCAAGCGAAACGCCTCGACTTTCCCCACAATTTCCGTTTCCTCGAGTACAGCCTCCAGAAACGCGAACAGCGCCATCTCCGACAGTACCGTCGAAGCTTCCTCCACGCAAACAGATCCTCCGATTCATAATCGAATTTAAACTGCACATTCATAAAAGCGACTTAGCTTAGTGAAGCGTCGAGATCATTGACGGAAACGTAGATGTTATTCCCAGCCATACAGGCTGTCCATGGAGATATTTTCGCAGGCCGAATTCCCTCCACAGCCGGCTTTCTTTTCGAGAGTACGCTCACCAACATTGCAACCGGATTACCTTCTTTATTCGTGACATTTCGTGCCGGGTGCAGAGGTTTGAAGACCGTTAGCGATGAGGGCAATCGTAGCGGTTGCCTGATGGGCGGATGTATAGATGTTGTTTTGGATTTCAAGAAAGAGTCCGCCATTTTCAACGGCGTCTCCCCCACTGGTTGTCAGTGCTGCGGTGAGAACAATGTTTCAATCTTGGATGAAGATTAAGATAGTCGATCCCGGGGCTCACTGTCGTGTTAGAGTTGCATTGAGACCCACGTGTGGAGGCTTTATCGCAAAGAGGCGTCATTGCTTTGGAGCTGCTATAACAGTGCTGCTAGGACCCAAGCAAACAGTGTCTGGAACCTCACCAGCGTTTTTCAAAGTTGAACTGGCACAGCCAATGAAATTGCTGTAAATGTCAGTCGTAGTGTACTGATACTTTACTATGTTTGACGCTGACGTATGAGCGTATATGATTTAAGTGATTGTGGTGTATTCGGAGGGCTGACACGCGATGCCTGTGGTGCTACCGGTAGATGACATGATTGGGAAGGTCTCTATTACCCCTGTAAAGTCACATGCACCTACCCGTTTGAGGCCTGGTCTAAATGATAACAGGGCCGAGGGTCAGAAGTTACGCTTGGACTTTCCGATGACGTGGTGGCACCACCGTACCAGGTTTGTAAATAGTGTTGTATATGCGGCATGCGAGGAAAGAAGAGCGTACTCGTCATCCTCCCAGTCAACGTGTCCATCCCAATCATACGCCTGTGCAGAATATTCATGTCAGCATTGACCGTTGGACAAATTGAGCTGGGTTACATGTTATGTAAATCTAGCAAACAAGGTGTGCCGTTTATGAGGTGTGCATTAGCTTTGTAGGTAATGGAGAGCAGCATGAACTCCCAAGTTTCTGCGTATCTGAGATTCCCTCGACTCACAAAAACCTCGTCGCGCATCTCCAAATGCATCAAGCCTGCCAAGATGCGAGTTATCTTACCTTGTAGCCCATTCCCACAAGCATATCGCGGCTATCAAACCATCTCGTCCCCTCTCGTGCCTCTCCGAGTCTTACGCCTACTGTTTAGTAGAATCGGAAAGTCGGGCAAGTCATCGAACGTTTCTGCATCATACACCGTAACAGTATCTTTCGCCAGTGTCTCAGCAGCGGTACTAGCGATTTCATTAGTATCTTAGATTTCCTGCCAGAAGCTTTGGAGGATTTTACAAGTTGCTGTCTGATTTGATGATCTGGGAACATTCTTGGCAAAGTCCTTTCGTAGATGGTTTGGAGGAGGCGTCATCGGCTTTTTCGTTCGTCTCGGTTGACTTGCGCAAACCTAGGTCAGAGGTGGAGATAAGGCTGCGAATATTGCGGACAATGCTCTCTACTGAGATGTCTCGAAAGATTGGGCGCATTGTGGGGAGGCAAGCACCAACTACCCCAAGAGAGGATTCAACCATCGGCCAGTAGAGTGTTGGAGTCAAGATATCTACTCTGGTTAGCGAGAAGCCGAACCAATGACCTTATCATTTTCATACAAGTTACGTCATTATTTTGAGATTGCGTCTCTATGGGACGCAAGTCGATTAGCCTGGTATTTGCAGTCTCGCTAGGGAACGATATAGCAACATACCAGCAACAACGTCATAAAAGACGACGAGCTTCGCGACGGAGGCAGCAACAACACTTGGGTTATCAGTAAGTTGTTTCATTTCTAGCACGGCATCGCTTACAGTGTGCCTAACAGAAAGATGCTACAGACTGCAACTTTTCGGGACGTCGGCATCTGAAGCCTCCAGACCTGGCAAACCTTTAGCGATTAGAAGAAGGGAGGACCGGGATGAGCGTACGCATGGAATAGGTAAGCAGAGAATCATTACTGTTGAGCTTGTTAGAATCCTGCGTGGCTCTAGCAGCAGTTGGACGGTTACCATCAGTGATCACATCGGACCACGCCTGCGCCAGGAACATCTCATTGGTTGAAATTGGAAAACATTGGAGTAGGTTGGTAAAGAAGAAAGCTACAGTCCAAACAGTGACGAGAACAACCATAGTCCGAATTGCGTATAGCACGCGACCATTGGTGAAGATCCTAAAAAGGGTGCTTCAGCACTGTCAGACTGGCACTAGAGGGGAAAGTCTTACCGCCTGTAGAAGAAAAGCACAGCTAATTTTGTGAAGCCGAAGGTCAACGTTTGCGTCAATTGCGACGCATAGGCAATCTACCTCTCTCTGAGACACTCTTTCTTTCCAAGATTGGGGATACATCATCGCCGCACCTGCTGGAAGATCTGAGTGCGTCGGGTGAATATAGGCATGCCATGTGCGTCTATCCTTGTATGCCTTCCTAGATCTCCAAATGCGGCTCCTTGACATGACAAATCAGCAATTTCCTAAATAAAATTAGACGAACCTCTTACCAACGAACATGCAAAGTCCTGTACCGAGCGTGAAAATCTATCGACGCGTCCTCAGTGTCTGGCTTCCAGTAACTAGCGGAAGGAAGGGACGTGACAAACCAACGCCAATACTATCATATAATCATCCATCTCTATCCTGACACTCTTCAAGAGGCGTCTGGCATAAAAGCGCAAGATAGCAGCTACAATGGCCCGGACTGACAATACTGCCGCGAGGGTGTACATCTTGCCAGGTGTCTCCAAACTGGCCATGGTGAGGTGCTGAGGCGATGTGATACCCTGAACAATGGCATCGACCAACGCTCAACAGTCTAGCTAGCAAAGAGAGCGGTTTTCAGGTCTTTCAAAGAAGAGACAAATAGAGACTCAACAGTACGCTGTACTTTAACGTCGATTTTGCTCGAGAATTCTGTCGAATTGGATGGAATCATTTTATACACGAAGCACTTGCACTGTACACTATTTCGCCAGCTTGATACAGCTACTATCAACTCTCATCTCACATTGTGCCATGCTCGGCCATGTCCCTTCTGTTAACAAGTTAGACTCGATAGCTTCAAGCAAGTTGAGGGGCGCAGTGAAATTAAACAAACAATCCATTAGCCGGAGCCATTGAAGCTGAACCTTAACGCTCAATTCCCAAAGACGTCTCCCCAGGCTCGGTGCTTTTTGAAGAGAAGTGCTGACTCGGGTATTGGCTTTGCTTTGCCTCACTTGAGCTTCGCCTCTCCTTCCTCCACTCTATTTTTTAGCCAACCACACAGCGTGCTAGTACCCCTGTTGAGCTAACGAGATATATTGCTCTCGTTCATTGCTTCTGGTATAACAGAGTATGGCATCAATGATGGAAGACGGAGGAAGCAACTGACTGAAAAACTTGGAGGATTTGCCGCTAACCTAGGATGAGCTTATCAGATTAAATTGAACCAATCAGACGTTTGCGCCAAGAGATCATGCCACTGCGGCCTTGACGGCGAAACAAGATATTAGTGGATTCTGTGCCCCCACTTCCTCGTCACTACAACACCCTTTATCAAGGAAGACGCCTTGTACACTCCAAGGTCACCCTCTTCTATTTCGATATGGCTTGTCGATCAGGAAACTATACTCCTGCGCCTCCATCATTTTGACCATCGACTTCATCAGCGACTGTAGTGCTCGAACTACATATCAATCCAGTTGGCGCATGACCAAGACTCATGTCAAGACTCAATATCTTTGTTGGATCAAATGACCAACGTCTCACAGCCGTGAATGCTCGATGGTTACACCGACGCTTGTGGAAGACTCGGACAAAGGACGTAAAATGATCCATGCAACAAAGGACCGGACAACAGAGTGCTAGTATCATCAACTTCTCAAATGCCGAGATAACAAGAAGACGAATCAACCCTTTCAGCCCCAGACCCTTCCACTATTCTCCAGCTGTCAAATTTCTGAATCTCAAGAATCAATTGGGTGACCATGACCGCAGCAGCCGCCGTGCTGCCAGCGCTGCCGCAAAGTTGGGGGCCAGACCGGTTCCGTCAGCCTCAACAAGATGGAAATCTTGCACTATCAGGTACACTACGATTTGCAGGTTGTGGCAATGATGTTGGTTGAAACATACCAGTTACAAGGCTACTGCACGGCGATTACTTATACATTGTGACAAATGGGTTGGTGGGGCTTCGCAACAGAGCTGCTTTCGGCACTATTGTGGCCACAGCCACGCCTTAATCTCTTCACATACATTATAACAAGGCTAAGGTTAAAGACTCCAAAATCTGGTCTTTCTCAACATCCATTCAACCTCAGCCTTGTGAGCCAATATTCTGTAGTCCTTAACACTTGTTCAACCTCAATTTTATTCAACACAACATGCATCTAGCCAGCATTCTCTTTACACTCCTGTTCGCTTCTTCGGTTTGCGCTCTCCCTCTTGGCCTTCGTGAGACACACATCACTAAAAATTGCTCTGTCATCACTAACAAATATCGCGACAGGCAAATTGGTTCGCGCCTGGGACGACCGCGACCTCAACCTTCCTGTTGTCCATCTCGACACTCCAGAACCCATTACCGAACCCTTAGATCTCTCCGACGGCTTGGGTTTCTCATGGGCCGACGAATGGCGGGGTGGTAAACGCAGCCTCGATGAAGGAAACGGCAACCCTAATCGCGACGCGCCGCGTAAGCGTGACCTCTTCGGTGGCATTGACCCCGGCTTGCTGGAGGCCCAGGACCCAACACCGTCCAAATCGGAGGGCGTTTCGGAAGACTTGATCTTCCAAGACGCGCCGCAGCGTAAGCGTGATGGGACACTACAAGAAGCTCTCGACGACATCATCCGTCCAGGCGAAGTCGTTGATGATTCTCCACCAGATCCGATTTCCCCAAGACCACGACAAGGCTGGATTTTTTTCAGTGCACCGGATAAGCGTTATGAAGCTTCTGAAGAGTTTTTACCCAAGGGATCAACAACGAAGAAATCATTGTTGTCTATTAAGGATGCACCGATCAAACCTTCTTGACCATGGTGAAGGACGCAATGAGAGGTATTGTGCCATGAGAGATATGGAGTGCGTCCCGAAGATCAGATAGTGTGTCTGTGCATAGTTCCGTCATTTCAACGCGATCTTGAGACAACGAGTATGTGTTTCTCAAACAGCCACGCCTACTTACTTCGAAAGATTGTCGCAGTCCTGTCTTGTTCTCTCCGCCCTCACCAAAGGGGCTTAGTCCGGTATCTCGTACGGCGCGCATATTTCACCTTTACAAGATACAGCAATGATGACCGGCACGGTTCGGAGAGCAAGCAGAGACCACCATCGCAGCCAATCTAGAGATTCCTACTGTTACACCAGATCTTCTATCTTGCCAGGACTATTCAAGCCTTGAAGACGCATATCATTGCGAAGATTCAACCTGATGCCATCTTCCCTGACCACGTGCCTGGATGTCAAATGAAGTGAATAGCCACATCTGGAGCCTTGGTGGTCGCATGAGCCGCATGCCTGACTGAATTGAGCTTGTTCGACTGCATTCCAGGCCTAAGCTTTCGACGATGTCTGTTTGCTAGAACCTAGGTAACGGAATACGAGGCACCCACTGAGCTCATTTTCTTGGTCTTTAATGCCTCCTCCTCTTCCCATCCACCATACTCTCCACCCTACAACAAATATGATTGGTCACCACTCCGCCCTCCCCTGGTCAAGCGTGTGCTTAGACGAGTAAGTTGGCTACCTCAACACTCTCATAATTTATGCGCAAACCCTTTTCCGTCCTCGTCATTCTCTATCTCTCGTTCGCGGGCGTTGTTAAACACAATCTGTGGCGACAAACCAGCACTCTCGACACGATGCATACAATTACGAGTCAAATGCATTTCAATCCCGCATCTGCAGTGGGGAGCAGATTCTTCGAGAGCGCGAGGACAAGGCCACAGTAGAAGTGACCACCTGCGGGCCTTCCACCACTGGGTGTTGCCGTTTCGCTAGCCCTCATGTGAATCTTGGGGTTTGGTGAGCACAGCCGTCTACGATGACCCGTGTAAATGTGTACGCCGTGTGTCCGAAGTCGAGACTAGATGACTTTATCGCAAAAAAGAGTGTCGTCAGGTCTTGAGACTTGGCACGCTAAGCCCAATCCGGCGACTACCCAGGTAAGGTAAAGACCAGCTCAAATCAGCCTTTGAAAATCCCCGAAATGCGTCTTTCAAACCTTACCACTCTCCTAGTCCCAATCCTCCTCTCCTCCGTCCTCGCAGCTCCCACCCCTGTGAGACACGACAACGTCAATGGCGGGGCATTGGCGGCTCGATCTCTCGACACCGGCACCCGTAATAAGGATTACAATCCTGGGCTTGAGGAGGCTAAGATGTTAGCTGTGAAAACCCCCGGTTTGGTGGCTCCGGTTCAAATGCGTACTAGGCAGGCGGGCGCCCCGGAGGCAGAGGATGTTGAGAATTTGGAAGCCTAATGGGTAAGTGCGGTGGCCGCAGGGAAGGATCCCGAGATGGAGGTGTCGGGTCGATGAGTGATATTTTCAAGAGTCAGGAGGCAGGATGGAGGGGAATGCTGAATGCTATGGATTAGCTCAATGGATCAGACGCTTCGGCATATCTCAGTGCTTCTTAAGACAGTCCACGTCCCAGAATGCATGCATGTTTGTGGCTGATTCTTTTTTGTAAAGTACGCATGATCACTGGCAATACACTAGGCATACACATTTCCGTCTGTGCCAGGTTCAAATTCCAATGGCGCTCTCACAAACCCTAATTGACTCCCCATGGCAGCTGTCACCGCTGCGAAATAGCAGCTACAGCCCCCAGCTCTTCGATCCCTGCGCACAATGATTGGGGGCTCGTGAAACGGGCCCGTATCGGCATTGAACCCCAGACCGCGGTCCAGCAGAGGTCAAGAGTACAAGTTTCTATCCGAGACATGCTTACTTAAAAGCTAGGGGTCCAACATAGGCAGCCTCCAGACTCAGTGTTGATATTACAGCGCGCCTGAGGACGAAAGCGCACACTGGCGTGGCACATTGATTTCCACGTCGCTCAGAGTCCCACTGCTCCCTTTTCTTGGTCGGCAAGCCTCTGCAGACCTTGCCAAAACGTCGGACGTGGATGCAGCGTTCCTGCCGAAAATCTTAGCCAACCTCTGTCTGCTGTGACTCCAGGGTACTCGCTGGGAAGTGTCAACTGAACGCGCTGATTTGCATCCACCGAATTATCTAAACCACTTAATGGACGACTCGCGCGGAAACCGCCTTCTTGATGTGATGCTTCCCCTGAACCTTGCAGGAAAATGATGCAATGCTACGCGGCATGCAAGGCCCACACAAGAATTTTCGCTGGTCACTGGCGCAATATAATAGCCTTGAAATGACAGCGTTTCAAATGGATATCTGAGCTGCAAAACTTTAGATCTTCTTGAAAAGAATGCTTCCGGGACCAAAGGTTCTCTTGTCGATGTTCTCGTTGTTGAGTTGCGAAGAGTTGAAAGAAAGGCCTTTTTGAAGTTCGATCGGAAACCCCTGGATTCTGGATCCGCCAGTGAATGGGATCTTATCCGTCTTTTTGGAAGACCAAGTATGTTCCAAAGAATCAAAATCACTGGCACGGGGTTCTTTCTTGACCAATACCAAAGGACACGTGCTCAAGGAACAGACCACAGGGTGGGATGATTGGACGAATCATTAGCCAAGCCCGCCCTCCATTAACTAAAAGGCACCCACGAACATTTTGAGATGTGGATGTACCTGCGCGAATTAGCAGCACACCCTTTCTCCTTAGCATCCTGCCTGAAGTTTTAAGGAAATCCCGGCCCCCATTCCCATGAACTTCTTCTCACGGCGCATCATGTCGTATGCGCCCAGGAGCAGTCCGGCGTAATTCCATCGCCACGCTCATGTACAGAGCGCCTTAGGGATAAATCTAGGTAGCAGTATCATGCTCATTCCGTCGTCTTTCAATAAATGTAACACTGCACAGCTTCTCCGTGCCGAGGCTTCTAAACACCGCCCCGAGTCGACTCCCGCCCAAATGATCGCAACACTATGTTAGATCGATCCTGCACGTGCGTCGCAGGACACTAGTCGCACCCTCCTCTCTGCGACCCTTTCTATCAGGCACGCTGTAACCCTCTCTCGCGGAGGAGCGAAAGAGCCGAATTTAGACTTCGTGGAATAGGGGCTCGAGTTTCATATCGAACCATCTATCCCCCAGGGCCCTTTCTGAACAGACAAGAGAACACAAAAAGAAGATCTTGCATTCCCGTAATGAACTAAGAGACCTTCCGATTACGATATCATATACGAGGACCATGAAACCAGCATCCTCGCCGCCTTATCTATCTTGCTCAGCCTCGCCAGCGCCTACTCCGGCGACAAGACCTACTACAAGACAGATTTCCTCCTCCCCAACACACATTCCCCCTCCTACCCGATTTCATACCTACCACGCCCAGGTCTCGGATCCTATGGCTACACACCTCGAGACAACGATTCGATCGTCGCCCTCTCCGTCTCACGAGGAAGAACCCGCCGAATCCCAATGACAACCCTCTCCGCGGCACCACGATCAGCAACCACAACGCGGCCACGGGCGGCACAACGCAAGATACGATTGTCGATACGTGCCAGGGATGCACGGATAAGGACGGTCATATGAGTCCAAACGTGTTCAAGGCCGTGGATCCGAATGGGATGGGCAACGGGAGGACCATGGCCGATCAGGGAGGGAGCGCGGTGGGCGGGAAAGAGTAGGGATTTGGGGGCGTGAAGGTGCGGTCATTAGTGTGGGGTAGGGGGCGGATGATCTTCAATGGCGTATGAAGGACGGCCCAATGCGCTGGACGTCTGGATACGTGTGCGTTGGCTTCGCCGGCGAAACTTTGTTTGAGGAACATGGAAAGGCAGCCTGATCGGTTTTCAACTCTGTATGGATGGTTGGAGGATAGAGTCTTCCAAGAATAGATCGAAAATAAAGAATCACACCCATGAGTTCGAGATTCTTCGCTGCGGACCTTATCAATCTGAAAAATGACTGCCTGGTGTTTTCTTTCTGACTCCCTACTACCAGTTTTTTCCCTCTGGCAAAATACATTGCCCTCGTTCAGGCGCACCTCCCCGCAAGGTAACATTGAGGCTCACAGCGCTCCAAAAAAATTCTGTCATCCCAGTCGTCAAGGTACCTGAATTACGTTCCCGAAGCAAATCATACATCAAGACCAAAGAAACAGGCCTTCCTCGTCAACCGCCCCAATTCCTCTCCTTCGCCGCCTCCAAATCATCCACATTCAAAGCACCCTCCCCCTCTCTCATCAAAACATCCCAAACATGATCACGTCTCCCCACCGGCCAAGCCGGCGTATCCCAATACCTAGCCTTGAGGCCTCTCTCCTGGGCACCCTTGATCTGTCCCCTGATAGTCAGCACCTGCTGTGGCGTGAGGATGCCATGCCACAAGTTTCCCAACTCTTTCTGAAACGACACGGACGCGTAGTATGAGTTTTCGCGGGTGTATTTCTCGCTCATGAGAAGTTGATCGTATTTGTTTATGGATGTGGGATCGTCCCCCCAGAGCTCGTCCAGCGGAGCGTCGTAGAAGATGTCCCGGTATGTGGTGTTGGCGACGAGGAGGTTGAATGGGGTGTTGCCTGTGCCTACGACTGTGATCAGGCCTGGCACCACGGCTGAGCCGTTGAAGTGGGTCAGCCAGCCACGGGAGCGGAAAGGGTCGAGGTGCTCGAGCACGGCGAGGAAAGTTGAGGCGCCATCGGTTTTCATGTCGATCAAGAGGATGAGGGGAGTGTTCGGGCTGGTCTCGAAGACTCCGTTGAGGGCTGTTGTGCTGGACAATGTTCCGTTTGTAGTGGTGACTTGGTTGGGTGCGTTTTGGTTCGAGAGGATTGAGACTATAGGGTCGATGTAAAGCGATTCCAGTGTTCGTTCCTTGGTTAAGGATTTCTGGGAGTGGCCAACGAAGAGGTCATTGCCAAACAGCCAGACGTCGGCTTCGACGCTGGTGCAGCCTGCGGCTAGAGCATCGTAGAGCGGCACATGGCGCCAGTAGTCGTTGTGTGAGTGGCACGGGATAGGTTCGATATCACGGCTGAAGTCTGCAGGCAGTGTCTTTACAAGTTGTGTGGGGTAGTTGGATAATCCCCATGAGGCAATGGTCTTTTGGATATCACTCTGAGGGATAAGCCTCCGGAGGTGGATGATGTAGTATATCAATAGAGAAGCTAGGACACTGGACATGAACATCAGCAGAGCGCCGTCCACGTCAGGTGCAAAGACTACTAACATGACTGCAACGGATGCTATGATTGCGAATAACAGCAGTTTCGGTATTGGCCGCTGTTGCTTTCCCTTCCACCTCTGAAAGGCGGAGGTTGTCCTACTTGGTCGCGATCCCTTGGCTGCCGGCGGGACAACAGCTGTCAACCATCGCAATTTTGGGTGTGACTTTTTAACAAATCCTTCTTCGAGGTTGTCGACTGATGTTTCGCTATCACTGGACACTGCTGAAACTCGATCTGGGCTATTTGCGCGCAATTTCCGAGGTTGCACAGATGGTAAGGATACGGGCCGGTTAATCGCCATTGCGAATTGAACGAAAATGATAGAAGACAATTAGAGAAAGGGTATGAACGTGGGCCTTCTACCTGGAGGGATTAAAAGAAGAAGAAGAGCGAGGCGCAAAGGAGCTTGAAACTAGAATGCGGTCTAGTCAAGAGGGACGAGCGCATCAGGCATCCTTTGTTCACTGGAAAAAGAAAGACAAGTGACCGGTGCCCCTTTCGATACGAGGGGTCCGCCGTTTATGACACAAATCGCAGGCTACCCTTTTATGTATAGTCCATCGCTAAAACATCATGAAACCTCTTCAGATGAGGCTGTCTTCATCCTTGCGCGGTCCTGCAAAACAATATGCGCAAAACATACAGTGGCGCAGTCACATCCAGAGGCGCGCAAATCGAGTACTGAACGTTTCAGCATGTAGCATTGAGAACATGATATTTGTTTGTAGTCATGTCTTTCGTTCTTTCGTTCGGTCACTGAGCTGGATGTGCGTTAATTTAAGTTTGGGCTATGTCGCAATATCAGCCACTCGGCGGAAAGCGAGGGGCCAGGCCATCGTTGTTGTTATTCAAAGGGCTGCCAGGCTCAATGAGGGAGAGTATAGTGATGATCATGGCAGACACCCTTTCGCTTAGTTCGTAAGGAAGGAAGTATAGGGGCTGCTAGTGGGTGTGGGACGAATAGGCAGCAGTTCTTGCAGACCTGCGGTGAAGGCTGTAAGACAATGCATCAAGCTAAGTCATCTGCGCAGCTGAACACGGAGATATGGTAAGAAAGACTGTATGCTGTTTCGGCCGAAGATTAGTGAATGCAACATTCCCTCAACGCTGGTTAAACGATGTTGCCAAACGTCTATTTCAAGCATTGCGGGCAGGATTCGGGGTTTTGTGCATATTCCGCCTCGCTGTGCCAGTCTTTCAACGGAGTGTTTTTTAATATTAACGAAGTAATATTTAATTAAAGATTTTAAAGTTATCTATCTTAATTATAACCTACTTCTTAATTAGTAATAATAACTTTATAATAATTATAAAAGCTTTATACTTATAGACTTTAATATTAATATATATTACTATCTATCGCTTAAGTTTAAAATTAAGTAATCTTAAATTAGAGATATTAGATTAATTAAGAATAAAGAAGCTCGCTTAGCTACTAATATATAAATATCTTATTTAATACTTATATTCACTCTATAGTAGCTAGATCTACTTATTATAATAAATATAACTTATAGATAAAGCTATATATATATATAGACTATAGAGTATACGTTAATATAGATAGATATATTAAGAGGCTAAATTTCTATTCGTAATTTATATAGTAAAGTAGTCTTCGAAATAATAATTAGCTTATATAGTCTAGTAATTAAGAATATTACTTATAAAAAACCCGGCTATTAAATCGCATATATATTTATATTTTATAATATATATATATTAGAATAGTCGTAGAAAAATAGCTTTATAATCTAGAATATATTATATAATTAATATAGTTCTTTAGAATAAAGCCTATATTTTTTTTTATAGAAGTTTTTTAGCTATAGCTAAATTTAAACTATAGGCCTCTAAGAGTAGTAGCTCGACATCGAGTTATAGATATTAGAGTATCGCTATAGTAATGTAAGTATTATAAGTAAGTACTATAAGTAAGTACTATAAGTAAGTATTATAAGTATAATATAATAATTATATAAGTAAGTACTATAAGTAAGTATTATAAGTAAATACTATAAATAAGTACTATAAGTAAGTATTATAAGTAAGTAAGTATTATAAGTACTATAAGTATTATAAGTACTATAAGTAAGTAAGTATTATAAGTAAGTAAGTATTATAAGTAAGTAAGTACTATAAGTAAGTAAGTACTATAAGTATTATAAGTAAGTAAGTATTATAAGTAAGTAAGTACTATAAGTAACTAAATATATAAATAGTATAATTTCTTTATAATTATCTAGTATACTCGTCTCTTAATTATTTAGAACGTTATAAAGATAATAGATACTTTAAATATTACTCTTTCGAGCGCTTTAAAGTTCGTTATAAGATTAGTTATATAATTATAAAGTAATTTAATAATATATATTTTTATTATATAGAGAAGAAGAAGTTCTTATATCGACAGCGACGATAGTAATATTATACTTTTTAGATTCGCTATAATTCTTTCTTCGAGTATATTATCGAAGCGTTAAGGGGCTTTAATTTAAAGAAGAATTATTATTAAATAAGAAAGTAGTAGTTAAAGAGATATTTTACTCTAAAATAATAGAAATAATTATTCTAATTTTAATATTTTATAATTTTTATAAGATAGAAAGTATTAAAATAATGCGATTTAATTAATCGAGGCCTTTCGAATCGCTTTCAAACCGTAGCTACTAAACTTTAAATTAATAATAAATAATTATTAATAATTTTCTTTATAGAATATTAAATAGTCGATATCGATTAAGACTATTAACGGCGATAGCGAGATCGAACGATAACGCGATACTATCTCGAAAGATCTTTATAAATAAAATTATAAGAGGAGCGTACTCGATAAGTTTTATATAAAGTAATTATTAAATAATAAGAGTCTAAGTAATCGATTTTTAAATATTAAAAAGTAAGGTATAGACGTAATTTCTAAACTTCGAATAAATTTAATTCGTTTAAAAATACGTTATTCGAGGTTTTCTAAGGTTATCTATTAATTTACTAAGAAAATAGAGGCCTTATTTATTATAAGAGTAATATACTTTAATAAGTCTCTTTTAATATACTCCTATACTTATACTTTATAAGTCTCTTTTAATATATACTTAATAATATATTAGTAATATCGAAATTATTAACTTATTATAAAGCTTCTAATCGTAAGTAAAAGAGAAGTAGAAGATCTCTCGAGAAGGGAATTAAGCGAGATAGAAGATTAAACTATTAAGAGCTATATATATATACTTCGAAAATTATAATATCGCCTTTATATATCGATATATCGATTACGTAGTTAGTCTATATTAATAGATTAATCTAGAGCTAAATTGATAGCGTAGAATTACGTCTACGAGTCTTTCTAGATAATAGCTTAGTCTACTTTTTAGATAACTATTTATAAATAATAGAGGTCGTTCGCTTACGGCTATTCTTCGTGCTAGTCTTCTACTACTTATTTTCCTACTCTTTTAAAACGCTCTCTTCTTTCTTATATACTTCTTATTAATCGATTTAAGTAATAACGATCTCGATAGAAGAAAGACTATCGTCTATAATAAGATCTTAAATTTATTAGATTTAATATAAGAATTCTTAAGAAATAGAACGAGTTACTTATAAAATCGAAATTATCGCCTCGTAGTATATTCTATATACCCTTATTCTTATTCTTATCTATACTCTTATTAAGAATATCTTTTAACTTCGCTTATTCTTCTTCTTCTTCTTTTTATTTAATAAAGTCTTCTTCTTCTTTAATAAAGTTATTATAAGAAATCTCCTTTAAGGTATACTTAAAGTTATTCTTATCATTATTCGAGATTATAATAATCTTATACTTGTCGAGTTCGTCTAGCTTAAGTTATAGACTTAGCGATATATAAAATAATTAATATTAAGACTTTATTTTAGAGTTAGAATTAATCTTATTTTCTTCTTTAATCTTCTATTCTTTCTATTTAGATTTCGTCTTAATTCTAATAAATTTCCTCTCTTTCTTAACTTTTAATTAACTTTTACGAGAAAATATAAGCTTTAACTTTCTAGATTTTATATTATCTTCTAATTTTTTTTTAAATAATAATATATAAATAGCGTCTAGAATTAAGAAAGTTTATACTATATTATTTCTTTTAAAGTCTTTAATAATTAGATTATTTTAGATATTAGCTATATCGCTAGATATAAAAATAAATATAAAAAGAGTTTTAACTTTAGATTTACTTATAAAAAGAATCGTCGAACTTTAGATAATTTATTTATCGATATATTAAATTCTATTAATAAGATCTAATTATCTTATTTCGCTTATAAGAAGTTTATCGATAAAGTCTTATAGCTCGTAATTCTTTTAAAGTACTCGTTATTTTACTACGATATTAATTATCTCTATTATAGATATTAATATATATTAATTAAAAAGAATAATCGACTTATCGATCTAAAAGAATCTCGCTTTTAAATACTCTTTTATATTAAATATAGAAGAAGCTCGTTTATCGTATTAATATATATATATATCTATTATAAAATAATATATAGGCTTATATATATTATTAGATTCTAGGCTAATAAGATAAAATCTAATATTAAATCGAGATAGCGCTATTATTACTAGAAAATAAGGGTGTATAGCGAGAATACTAGCGTCGGTATAAGAAAGAGATCTATCTACTTTTTAAGTCTTAAAAATAAATCGCTAACGAAAGTACTCGCTAATAAAGACTTCGGTCTTATTCTTATTATATAGATTTAACTTATATCTAATAGAAGTAATTCTTTAAATAATTACTATAGATATAATCCTTTAAAATTATAAGATATAAAATCTATTTATTAAGTTAATATCGAGCTAAATTAATAAAACTCTTTCTTATAAAGTAAATCGAGTATTTGAAGCTTAAGATATATTAATAATTAATTAAGAGAGAATATAAGTAATAAGTATTAAGCTACTTAAGAATTCATTTACTCGTTTTAATAGATAATTATATTTATTATAAGTAATATTTAAAGATAGATAATTATAATTAATATTAGAAATCTTATATTATCGTTAAGACGCTTTATCTATATAATCTACGTTAGTTATATAAAATATCTAATAAGAGATAAGTAAAAAAGAAGATCTCGAAGTTATAGAAAGAGCTTTAAGTCTTTAAAAGCTTTCTAAATAAATTCGCCTTAAATAATAAACTTACTTTTATAAATATAAGATTTAATATTACGATAAAAAGTCTATATCTTCTTAATAGGCGAATTTAATAATAAAATTAAGATTTAAAAGATATATTTAAAAGCTAATACGTTAAT